ACGCTGCTGACCCCGCACCTCGACCTCTCCCCGCAGGTGTTTCGGGACCAAGTGCGCGGGCTGCGCCCAGGGCATCTCCCCCAGCGACCTGGTCCGCAGGGCGCGGAGCAAAGTGTTCCACTTGAACTGTTTTACGTGCATGATGTGTAACAAGCAACTCTCCACCGGCGAGGAGCTCTACATCATCGACGAGAACAAGTTCGTCTGCAAAGAAGATTACCTAAATAACAGCAATACTGCCAAAGAAAACAGCCTGCATTCAGGTGAGGGAGCGCGGCCCGGGGAGGGATGCCCTCGGCCCCGGCTACTCCGCGGGGTGGGAGCTGCTCCGAGCCCTTCCCTGGTCCTTTCCCCAATTCCTTTCCCGATCCCTGCTCCTTTCCTTTTTCCTCGTCTTCTCCTCTCCTTTTTCCTCGGCTTCCTCTCTCCCTCCTCCTTTCCCTTCTCCTCCTTTCCCTTCTCCTCCTTTCCCTTCTCCTCCTTTCCCTTCTCCTCCTTTCCCTTCTCCTCCTTTCCCTTCTCCTCCTTAACTCTCCACCGGCGAGGAGCTCTACATCATCGACGAGAACAAGTTCGTCTGCAAAGAAGATTACCTAAATAACAGCAATACTGCCAAAGAAAACAGCCTGCATTCAGGTGAGGGAGCGCGGCCCGGGGAGGGATGCCCTCGGCCCCGGCTACTCCGCGGGGTGGGAGCTGCTCCGAGCCCTTCCCTGGTCCTTTCCCCAATTCCTTTCCCGATCCCTGCTCCTTTCCTTTTTCCTCGTCTTCTCCTCTCCTTTTTCCTCGGCTTCCTCTCTCCCTCCTCCTTTCCCTTCTCCTCCTTTCCCTTCTCCTCCTTTCCCTTCTCCTCCTTTCCCTTCTCCTCCTTTCCCTTCTCCTCCTTTCCCTTCTCCTCCTTTCCCTTCTCCTCCTTTCCCTTCTCCTCCTTTCCCTTCTCCTCCTTTCCCTTCTCCTCCTTTCCCTTCTCCTCCTTTCCCTTCTCCTTTCCCTTCTCCTTTCCCTTCTCCTTTCCCTTCTCCTTTCCCTTCTCCCTTTCCCTTCTCCGCGGTCCCCGTTTCCCCCCCGTCTGACCGTGCCCCGCTCTGCTCTGGCCCAGCCACCACCGGCAGTGACCCCAGCCTGTCCCCCGACTCCCAAGACCCCTCCCAGGACGACGCCAAGGACTCGGAAAGCGCCAACGTGTCCGACAAGGAGACGGGCAGCAACGAAAACGACGACCAGAACCTGGGGGCCAAGCGGCGGGGCCCCCGCACCACCATCAAAGCCAAACAGCTAGAGACTCTGAAAGCCGCCTTCGCCGCCACCCCCAAACCCACCCGGCACATCAGGGAGCAGCTGGCGCAGGAGACCGGCCTCAACATGCGGGTCATCCAGGTACCCCCCCCCCCGGGGGGCCCGCGGTTTTATCAAACCCCCCCCTCCCCAACCCAGCCGGTCGGCAGGGCTGCGGGTTTCTTTCAGAAAGTCCTAAAGAAGCTGCGCATGGTATGGAAATTAATAACCATAAATGTGAGGGGTTAATGGGTAAATAAGGATGACAATGCGCTGGGGTGATGAGGAGGTTTATAAACCCGCGGCGCTGGGGGTAATGGGGGGTTAAGGGACCATTAGAGGCGAGGTTAGATTGGAGAGGCGCAGTGTGAGGGCAATTAGGAGTAATCTTGGCGGGATAATAAGAACCGACTCCGTCGTTCTCGACCTGCGGGGACGCGGTCACGCGTGGGCTCTGT